CCTGATCGACAATACATTGGAAGGTGACGAAGGAGACGACGTGCGAAAGCTTCGTAGAAAGCTTTTTGACCTCTCGAATGGAGTGCTTAACCAGGAGATTTTAATGCCTGTGAAGTGGCTAGGTTTTGAAGCTGCTCTAAGCCAGAAGCTATCACCAGATAGCAAGTATATCCCAGTTGACGAAGCTAAGCAAGAAGCGGAGGCCTGTGGCGTTGGGGAGTTTGATCATGCTATCAAATTTCTACACCGTCAAGGTGTGGTCGTACACCACAGTGGATCCAGCAAGGTTGTATTGGATCCTCCCTGGTTAATGAATCGCTTTACGAAAGTGATCTCCATGCCTGGCAAATTGGATGCTTTGTCCAGGCACGCTCTTGATGTGTTCAAGCAGAAAGGCATTATGTTTCGAGAATATCTTGAGACGCTGGAAGACGCAGAACTTTTAGAAGAGCTGATGCAAAAATTTAATTTAATTTGTCCTTGCCAGCACGATGGAAAGGCAGCTTTTTGTGTCCCTTCAATTGCTCCGGCTATGAAACCGGGAAAAGAGTTGGAAGCTACCGATGTTCCATCGCTGTTTGTGACATTTCCTCGCCAACTTGTACCGATGGGCCTGTTTACGAAGCTTCAAGTGAAGTTAATTTCTGAGTGGGAAAAGCGCTTCCCTAATCAACTAGCCACGCCGTCCTTCTACTGCAACTACTCCTTGCTTCCGCTTATTATAGACGGCGACGTGTATGATGTTTATTTGATCGACCTCCACGAGTTCATTAAGATTACCGTTTCTCCAAAACAGGATGGCAACCATTTCAAGTTTGCCAGTCATCTCCTAGCCACCTTGAAAAAGTGTTTGGACGACCTTAAATCTCAAGACCAACTATTTTTGAGCATGACTAGCTATGACCTCGAAGTGGAATGTACCTGCTGCTTTGGTAAAGAAGAAAGAAAATGTTCTCGTCATCATGAGATCCAGTGTCATTCAGACCGTTGTGGGCACCGCCACTTCTGGAAGCTTAGTGACCTTCAGAGATTCTACAACGATCAATCCCCTGCAATTTGCCGATCGGACAAACACTGGTCCAAGGTGTTTGACATAAAGAGTGTAAAAATTTGGCTCAGTACTGGTAAGTGGCTAGTGCTAAAAATATTTTTACTCTACACAAATCAAGACATTATCTGGCTAAGGGTAACGATTCCCCCCAGCCGCTTTATGAATATTTAACTTTCAAAGAGTAGGATTCATATAATATATCGCATTAAAATATTCTTAAACAGTTCTGCCCAGGAAAGGTGAGCGCAAAATTACGCCATTACTTACAAATTAGGCAATAAACATTAATAATGACAGATGCAGACATAGGGAGGAGGTGGCTTATTAATAAATTTCGATATCTTCACAAAGTGGTGTTCACTTAGCGGTGGACTGAATGCGACTGATGTGAACCACATGAAAGTATGTACTATAATTAGCCCCCATTTTAGCCATCTGCTTGATCATTCCGCACGCTAGGGACATTCTCGCCATTTCCTTCGTATGACAATTTTCTAATGACAATTCTTAATGTGGGATTGGTCCATTGGCAATTGTATTCGACTTAGGCTGTTTTTCCAAATTGATTTTGTGGGCATCATTGTCAAAGAATTTAATAAATTTAATGCTTTAAAGTTTGTGAGTTCACGGCAACCAGGTATAATATCAGCAATGTTTTCGCTCGCTACTTTGGTTTTGATCAATGAATGCAAAGCCCAGTCGAACTGCATTCACGACCCAACGTTTCGACACGTACCTAATTTATTAAAAAAATTTATACCTACACATTTTTGTGCGAAGTTTAGCCGAGTAGAAGCACGCCCTAACAATGTCTGAACACATCCTTATAATAATGTGTAACCACAAAACCGGCTACAATTGATATTCAAAAATGCCAAAACAAACATACACTGAACACACCCAGGGAAATTTGGGTGCCTATGACAAAATTTGACTTTGGCCCCCTGGTGATTCCATCTTCCCTCTACCCCTTTGGGCAGCCTTGACAGTCAGTAGCGTAGCTAGGAAAAACTGATTGGTCATGCTATTCGCTGAGTACCAAAAAATTTAAAAATTAGGGCCTCTAGATCGTCGGAAACGGCCTTTTCAGACATTTATCTATTCATATTCATATTCATACAAAACATTTGGGCAATTTAGCGTCACTCGAACTTAATTTCCTGCATTCTGTGCGGCGAAAAGTATGGAAATTCATATAATAAAAACACAATAGAAACAATCTGTAATAATTATTTTATTTCAGCATGAACAGCATTACTAATTACTTTACAAATAACTCAAACGAGTTTAATTTTTTTATAACTTCACTCGCAGGCTCAGTCTCAGATTGGGTGCAAATTGCAAACAATAATCAAAAAGTTATGATGCTGCACTAGAACGGCAATCGTCATTTCCAACAAAAACGAAGTACATAAAAGCATACAATAAGCCATAGACTAATATGTAAATGCGAGACAAACTTTCTGTACCGGTGAGGTGAAGACTGGTGCAATTTTCTGTGCAAGTCTAATTAATATAGAAATAATAAAAGAATAACATGGAAATTATGTGTCACCACATGTCATTACGAGCCACCACATTTGAGTGGATATTTCCCCTGTAACTCTGGTCATCTATTAAAAAAATAAAACTTATAGTAAAAGAAATATATGAAATTATATTTTGGAGTTACCACATTCAAGTGGTTATCTCCCCAGTAAGAGTTATATCATGGGCTCACCACATTTGAGTGGATATTTCCCATACAACTCTGGTCATCTATTTAAAAAATAAAACTTATAGTAAAAGAAATATATGAAATTATATTTTGGAGTTGCCACATTCAAGTGGTTATCTCCCCAGGAAGAGTTATATAATGGGCTCACCACATTTGAGTGGATATTTCCTTTATAACTCTGGTCATCTAATAAAAAAATTAATAGACCTCATAGCAATCTAAGCAATTTTAGGGTCACCACATTCAAGTCGAGTGGTTATCTCCTCAGGAAAAGTTATATCATGAGCTACCACATTTGAGTGGATATTTCCCCTATAACTCTGGTCATCTAAATATAAAAAATAAAACTTATAGTAAAAGAAAGATATGAAATTATATTTTGGGGTCACCACATTCAAGTGGTTTAACATCTCCCCAGTCCCCAGGAAGAGTTGTATCATGGGCTCACAACATTGAGTGGATATTTCCCTTATAACTCTGGTCATGTAAATGAAATTATATTTGGGGGTCACCACATTCAAGTCAAGTGGTTATCTCTCGAGGAAGAGTTATATCATGGACCCACCACATTTGAGTGGATATTTCCCTTATAACTCTGGTCATTTTATTAAAAAATTAATAGACCTTATAAAGCAAGATATGAAATTATATTTGGGGGTCACCACATTTAAGTCAAGTGGTTATCTCCCCAGGAATAGTTATATCATGAGTCACCACATTTGAGTGGATCTGTAGATATTTCCCCTATCGCCTGTATTCTAGCTAAAAGCTCACTCATTCTCACACTCAATCAGTGGAGGTTCGATCTGAGCTTCTCTTGAGTGTCATTGCTGTTTTGGCAAAGCTGGGGAGTTAGTATCGAACCTTACTATGTGACTACTCACCCTCCACCTATTCAAAAACAACATTGACCCTCAAGGTAAGCTGAGATTGAACCTCCACTGATTGAGTGTGAGTGAGCTTTTAGAACACAGGCGTATAACTCTGGTATTGGTAATTATAGTAAAAGAAATATTAAATTTTATTTTGAGGTCACCACTTTCATAGTGTAGATATTTCCCCCTATAAATCTAATATTCCCCGATATAATTTCAATGGGCTATAATAATGCACCTATCAATGTTAAGCCCCTGAGGGGAGTCGGGCATATGTGGGGTATTTTATAATCAATTGCATCCCCACCCTGGGGATTTTGATTAGCATTTTGGGCCTGAGTTAGGGCAATTTGGGTCTAGCTATTTTGCGGGCTGCGGGTCAGTTTTTGCGGGCTGCGGGTCAGTTTTTGCGGGTTGCGGGTTAAAAAAAGTGTGGGCCGCGGGCCAAATTGCTGGCCTAACTAATTTTTTGTTGCATGCCATATATGGCATGCAAATTTCATTGGTGAGCGTACCGGTCACGTGGCAAATTCGTAAAATACGACAAATACCGAGTTTTTCCGACGAGCATTTCATCACTCATGCTCGAGGAAAGGCAAAGAAAAATGTTTGAGTGTTCGCGGAAAATTTACATAATTGAGCGCCTTTAAAAATAGATCAAGGTAGATAAAGCTTTGCTGGTTTTAATTTTCTTTATATTCTGTTATTTGTTGTGATTCTGGAGCAGTTGTGCTCGCAATAAAAGTATTAATCATAAAATGAATGATTATTCATCAGTCGTTTTTAATATTTATATCGTGAAGCCTGGCTACCCTATCAAAATACTCAATTTTTTATATATGCTCAATATATACTATATTGTGTGCAAAACTTCAAAACTACAGTACATTTTGTAAATAACATGAAATATACTAGAAAATACATGCATGCAGAAACCCTCGCCTTGCTGACAAAACCATTTTATTTTCCGAACGTGAAGTATTTTAAGTAGTTGTCATGGTAACACGATAATTTTTTAAGAATATTTTTACAAATGAAAAATCCC